AAAACACCATAAAGTTGAATGTGTGTTGTTGTATGTTCGAACGACACTGGTTGATGGTGCGGTGCAATTTGGGATCTGTAGACGACCGTTTTTTTTTTGTCTTCGTTCGGGTTAACTCAATTATGTAATACATATGCGCATTGACGATTATAATCCAATGGGAAAAATAAATATTATGACAAATTAAATCAAAATTTACAATTTCGAGATTTGCCACATAAATGTAATAAATGCGGTGATAATGATATTTTTTCTGCTGCTATTGTTGTACAAATTCGGAGATTTTTCATAACTTTTGCCATGCACTCGATACACAGTGTCAGAAATATGGCGGCATTTTTTTTCGTTTCGTTCTTCCCTGTTCTGTGAGCAGGCAAGCGATTCGATCCGATATGTAGAATATCAAACGACCGAGTGATTGCTGCTTTGGATTCGGACTTGTGGGCACCTCATCATATTTTTGTCGAATGTTTGACAGTGGCAAGGCTCATCAAAAATTGTTACAACCGAGAAACATAACAATATCACATTTATCCCCTTATTATGTGGAACCGTTGTAATGCATATAACGAAACAAAACCAAAAACACGAAAGAAAATATCAAGTTAAATATGAGTATGTGCGTGTGTGTGATATTTGTGAACGAATATGGGTTTTATTTTTGGTGCGTGCGATGATGGTGATGGTGGCCGAACCGTTGATGTCAACCAGCATATGAATTGAAGAAAATTTGAGATCATTTAGTGCGGTAGCGGTAACCACAGAAGCCTGAATTTTTTCGTCAAAATATAAACACAGCAACATTACCCAAATGAATACCAAAGAGAGTTGAACTTTCTTTTTTCGCTCGTGCTTCCATATTTACCGCATAAAAACTGCTTATAGCATGAAATGAACGTGTTTGTTTTGTTATTCGAATGGAATGAGATGTGGCCGTTTATGTCGTGTGTTCAATGTTTTCAATAACATACATACACGGAGAGATGGAAAAGAGTGTGAGTTAGAAGTAAACAAGCGAAGAAGCGAGAAGCAAAAAGCATACATACGATCACGAATAACGGAAACTGATATAATTAGATTCAATGCTATAGGAAACTGCCACGGATATTAAAATGAGTTCGTTTGTTTAGTCTTTGTCGTTGTCGCCGTTTTCATCGACATCGTTCTGATTTCGATGTCATCATCATCATTTTCATCTCTTTTCGATTATTTTTCTTTGATTTCTTCGGGCCCAAAAACAATTGCAAACTATTTTTAGTATACTATAACGATATTGTTTCATTGTGTGATGAACATTGTCGTTGACATCGTCGTCAACCAATTCTGCACATAAATATCAAAGAGAAATGTTGAAAACAAAACAATGCAGCAAGAGAGAAGGAGAGTGAAAAAAGTCAACATACAGCGTTATGCTAGCTGAACAAAATCAATGAACGAAAAACAACAAAAATAGCCAATGTAGAAGGATACGACGAACGATGAAGTGCGCGCAGCCAAGTAAAAGAAGCATTAAATCCAATGAATTCGTCAAGGCAAACAATAACAAATGTAATTATGATAAAATATTACGGTTGCTCTTCACCCAAAGATTTGCCAATAAATTGTGAAAATTCTGTGCGCATTTGCCATTCGCTTCCTCAATCTCTCTATTGTTGTGGCTCGTGAGAATGGGGTGAATATAGTGTGGTAGTGATGGCAAATGGGTGTATCTTCTCTCTATGTCTGTGCTTCGCTCTCTCTCTCTCTCTCTCTATCTCTCTCTCTCTCTCTCTCTCTCTCTCTCTATCTCTCTCTCTCTCTCTCTCTCTCTATTCAAACATTATAGCATTTCTCGGACTCGGACTCGCATTCGAACGAGGGTGCACGCTTTTTTGCTCTTTTTGAAAACAAATTAAGTTCAAGGAAAATACAATGTGATGAAAATGGAAGAAAAATTGCATAAAATAAAAATTAAAAATTGAAGAAACATCTGAGGAACATGATGGAACACGATGGTTCTTTGCTTGTCATTTATTCACTCATTCACTCACTCACTCTTACGTGCTGTCTTACATTCAATTAAGTTCCATCTGTGTGCTTCATTGCTTGATGCTTGCTTGGCCGACTCGACTAAGCGCGGCAGAAAGGAAATTGAAACAAAAAATCCAATGGATATCGTTCTAGCTCGTTCGTTTGCTTGCTTGCTCATTCACTCTCGTCTTAAGCATTTTCTCTATGACGAGAAGGACATTAATAGAGTACTTTTGTAAAAATTTACAGCGAAACAACCACTCGAAATGGAGTGGTGGCACATCGTGTGCTGACATTGAAATATAGCTGAAATGACAGAAATAAGCTTGTTGTTTTTTAATGCTTTATTGTCCAGTTTTTTTTTCTTTCATTTTCTCTCTTTTATGCTCATCACTTCAATCAAACAATCAACGAGCCCAAATGTATAAACCGCTATCGGGGCTGAATTAGAACGAGAGAATGAAAAAAAAGACAAAGAGAACGCATCAGACATAACATTTAAGTTCACATGTACGCTCGAACAACAAGCTCGAACAAGCGACAATACATGAATACAACCACACATATACACGCAAAACAACAACAGTCAACCATTGATGCGAACCAGTCAATATCTTTTATCTTTTCATCCAAAACTTGTGTCTCTCGTTCTATCCCTTTTATCTTTTTTGACATCGCATTTTATTCGCATTCTGTCTCGGATGCTCTTTCTCTCTGTATTTCGTTTTCGTTCCCGCTTTTTAATGTTTTACCACATTGATTTGCCTTCCAACCAAATGTTTCTTCGCACCGAATGTCAAATATTATGACATACAATGATTACTGTTCGGGCGGGTCAAAAGGGATTTGGTATGTGCGTCTGAAAGTGTTTTACTTCTGCCAATCCATTGGATTGAATCCAATTCTCAGGCGGCAATACATATATAACTATATGTGTGTGTGTTATGTGAGAGCTAAAAGTGAGTGTGTTTCAAATTATAGCGTTTTATTCGATTTGAATTAATATTAGCGGTGTACGATGCTTAAGTACTCACTTTCTTCCACTTCAAACTGTTGTTGGATCAGCTTTGTAGCACAGACCCTCGCGTTCGCTCAGGCACACAGATCTCTGCCACATTATACCATAGCATAGATATGCCCATATCGTCGTCGTTGTTATTGAAGTCTCACTCCACTAGCTCAAGCTGTATTTTGCAGCGAATGGTGATGTGAAGAGCAAATTCGAAAATGGCAAAAATGTCACTTTGACGCTGCTCACAGAATCATGAAGCTAAAACGCATCGGAAAACACATCTAAATGTAAATCTAAACACCTTCAATTAAGGTTTTTATTGCCCAGAACACACAAAACCTATCCACACAGAGATAACGCGTATAACAACAGTAGGGAGACTAAACGCAAAAACGTTCCACGACTCGTACAAAACAATCTGTGTACGCTGTGTTCAACAATAAAAAATAGAGAGAGAGCGAGAGGGAATCAACAACAGTGCCCGAAATATATACCGAAAATGTAGTCGACACAATGTCGATCAAAATGTGTTTTAATATCATTGTTGTCTCACCGAGTTGAGGTAGTAAACTCGGAGAAGCCAAAACAGTTCGGGAAAAATGTTTGGCTGTTGGTGTATGGTAATAGTGATGTGTATGCTTTTCGAATCTATCTCCGTAGGTTATTTCAATCGTATTCTATTGTTTGGTACAAATATTGTTGTAGGTACCGTGTGAATGAGTGAGAGAGACTCCAAAAATCTCAATATCAGTTCACACGGTGGTGTCATTAGTTCAGGCATTTTCTCTCGCTGTATTTTTTTATTTCTTCGTTTTTCGCTCCATGCCGTTGACATACCGGCAATAGACACGGCAATTTATAAATGTGAAAATCGATTTGTGTGTATGTGTGTGCTTAAGCGGTAAACATTAATAGGTTTATGTTTTCAAAAACTCATCGAAGCTCCCTATAAACGCCTTAAGTGAGATTATTATTAATATGTTTTCATGTTCGCATGTGAAACAGAGTCGACTGTGGATCGAGCTCGGGCATTCTCTCGGTATCTACTTAACCGAGATCGTGTGTGGGTGGGTGTGTGCATATATGCCGCGTATGCTGATCCATGCATTTTATGAAAATGAAATGTCATTCATTTTGTGCACATGGAAAAGATATGGGGAAAGTTTTATAGAACAAAAGAAAATTGAACTTTTTCAACTAAGTTCTTCCGTTTTTCGTTTCCTTTTTTCACTCTCACATATGCTTGGATAGTCTTTTTCGACAGTAACAGCATGCGAATTGTTTTGTTTTTTCACTTTATGTCGAAAGTAATGCACCATGCCATACTTCAGCCTCTGTTGTTCCTATCATCCATAAATTTAGAGTTAAATATTGTGGCAAATGCTACGCTTAAATCATGTGTGTTACAGATACATCCAACCTCCATCGAAATGATGGAAAAACGGTTGGTAAAACTTTACTATGGTTAAACATAACATAAGCACGCTGATACAGCATCCCATCCATTTAAGTGCAAAAAGACTAGGATATAGGGGAAAAAAGCTTAGCTTGTTGAGCTTTTTTCCTCTCCTCATTTTTAATTCGTTTGACTTTTCGCCAGATTTCGGTGGCATCGATGCGATGGCATTTGTGCAATGCAGGCTTTGTTTACAATCCGGTTTTTGTGGTTTTAAATCAGCTATGCATACACAATACACACACACACACTCATATGTACATATATTTGTGCATAAATGGTATTCATAACTAATTGAATCGCAAATAATTCAGTTTCGCGGTTTAAATCATTTGTCAATAGTAAATAAAATGTGACATATTATGGGTTTACTCGCGTGCGTATTTGGTTTTGACTGCTGTGTTGTCGGTGACATATTTCAAAATTAATCGACATCAATATATCAGTAAATACACATACGCTGCCAAACGCTGAAAAAGAGCAAGAAGTTTAAAAGTCAAACAGAATAAAAGAGGAAGAAACTTTCTCATTTTGCACAAGTTTGATGTCTTTATTTATAGTAATTTCTGAAGAAATTGTCTTCTCTTACGTTCATTTATTTGATCCCGCTAAATACAATAAATAGAAGTTTTTTTTCCGTCATATACACATTTTTTTTTTTTGGAATTACTATGTTAAAGGTTCAATACACGCACACTATAGTTTTCTCTTTATGATTACAAGTATTTTTTCTTTTCTTTTTAATTTTCCATTCCTCTTATTTTGCTTTCTTCTTCTCGATTTTCGTTCCGCCCCGTACGATTATCCATCGTGTTTTGTGAATGAGAGCTATTTATGATGTTTGAATATTTTATAGATTTTTGGTGGAAAGCTTCAATGGGAATTTAGTGCTTCGGGAATGTGGAACACGTACACATGTCTCAGACGCGAGAGAAACGGAACAAGAGAGGATTATTCACGAAAAGTATGATGTTTTCATGTCATATTTTTTATGCAACCATTATTTGTTTCGCCGTCACATCACTTCATGTGGTATATTAACTGCACAGCATCTTTTTGATACATTTACAAGAGAAAATAAATATATTTACTTACCTCATATATCAAGAGAAGAAAATTGTTACTTTTTTTAAGTTACGATGTTTTCTCGTGATTTGTTATTTTGCAACAACCGAAATGGCAAAAAAAATGGTTTTAAAACCGTTCGATATAAATGACAAAATCGATTTTACATGTCCAAAATTAAAAAATCTGTTCTAAATTCGTTCAATTGAATCAATAATTAGTAGGTATGCTACACAAAATTCTTGTATACTGAATTACCCTTATCTTGTGCTGTTATGCATGGAATGCAATGTGCGCTAAATTGCATTGGGTTGTGCGGTTTTTGAAATATATGGAATGTGTTTGTTAAGTGTTAGTATGGTTGTTTCCAATTTTTTTTTGCATAAATGTTACAAATTGATTTTAAAATTGGTTGCGCACAATGGTTCTGGACTTATCATCTAATTAGATTCGTAATCAATTGCGCACAGAAAAAAGTTTTTTTTTTTGAATAATTTTCAATAATTATTCGATTCCTATTGGAGTGTGTATGAATGTAATTGTCATTTAACTTTCGTAACAATAATAATAATTCTAGATTGCTCTTTGCTTAAAAACTTTCACATTTTCAATTGCTCTATTTGGAAAATAGTTAACCTATTGACGACGATGATGATGATAATGATGATGAACGGAAGGAGAGAGAAAGCATGAAACCGGGGGTTATAGAACAATTTGTGTAAATACGTTTTGCCTTCGTCCTCATAACGATTCTCGTTTCAAATCCGTGCTTCTAATTCCAACTAATTTGCACATATTCAATTACAGCTCCATGCATACATTCATACATGCATAGCGTTTAATTAGTTGTGTTGATGCTGCGTATGAGTTTGATTGTGCCTACTGTTCCATTTGTTGAATTTTGAATTGACGACGTAGAAGAAACAGTAGGCATTCGGTGTGGTGATGGTGGTGATGACTTTTGTAAAATCATAATATGATTTCAAAACAAAATGTTATGTTCCAAGAATTGTTATTGGTTAATTTTGTGGCTGTGCAACTGTGACTGCCATTCACATTCCATTGGTATATGTGTTTAGATTGCTTGTTGCTGTTTGGATTTCAGCTTCATTTTCTCGCTCATTCTATCGGTTTCATTTGCAAAAAAAAGTTTTTTTTTTTTTACTTCTAACAACAACAATTTTTTTTCGTTCATCGTCGAAGTTTTTGCTGTACCATGAATTCCATTGGTTTTCGCCTGGCGATAAATGCTTCGAGAAGTGCACAGTAATGTGTAGAGTGGAAAAAATGTTCGTTCACTGCCAAATGCAGTCGAAAGTTTTATGATGCACATATTTTAACAGTTGCTCGTATTAAACGATGTCGAACTTGCGGCAAACATTGTTGAATCCTCCATTGATTTCCATTTTGATTTGCTACTAGCACCTGTTGGACGAGAGGGAACCAGAAACATCGATGACGATAGCCCAATATGAAAGAGGGAGAGATAGAGAAGAAGAAAATTGGTATGGTAAGCAATGAAAAGCATTTTACTACACAATCATTATCGGAAAAAAGTATATATACAAGAAAATTACACAAATGATTGAGTGTGTCGTTTAACATCGTTGGTTTTTGTGTGTGTTTTTGTTTTATTTTTACCTGCTGATTCGGTGTTTTCAACAAGTGCGTTTAAACTGCTTGTCGGTGCGATTCGATGTGGAAATCGTGGTGAACCTTTAACACGATCTCTCAACGTTGGTTGATTTAGAATTGAAGCACGACGACCTAATGGTAAATAAAAATTCACTTTTGGCTCGTGTTCGGTGTCAACATAAATATTTTTGCGTGATGTATTTGTTGAATCGTTGGTTGTGGTTTCGGTGCTGATGATGAATGGCGGCGGTGGTGGTAGATTTTTGCAGCGCTCACGAAACGGTGGATCGTATGTAATTGACGAGCATCTTGTATTAATGGCATTTCCACTTCGTGCAATTGATGATGACATTTTACGCAATGGATGCACCGCAGCACCAGCCCGATCGATTGCATTACATGATGATGCCGTTGGTACAATGTTTGAAAATAATCCCATGTGCACTTTTAATGCAGCTGCAATGCCAGACGAACCGCCTGCAATTGAGGATGTTGAGGCTTTGCGACTTGGTGGTTTTGAACCAAAAAAACCTACGGGACAAAAATTTTGTTGTGTGTTGCACTAAATCAACATTCTAAACTACATTTGCCAATTCGTTTTTTGGTGAATATATCTAGATGCATTGTGTAACAATTCAATTTGCTGTTTTTTCGGGGCCATGGGCGCACACATTCTAATAATAATAATATTTTTTTAATTTTTCGTTTCGCTAAGGGAATGTTTCGTACATTTTATGTATGTGTGTGTTTGGCCATATGGTCAACAAGAAAACTCAAATGTCATGCAAACCACACGTGCACTGTATCACTACATAGAGAATTAAAATTTATATTACATTACATACCAATGATACGATCAATAAGACCCTTTCGTGCATCGGCCGTTGCTTGTTGATGTGTTAAACGTAAATGCAATAAATCAATGGCTGGCAAACGTGCAACAGACGACTCATCCTCAAGCTGTGGTTGCGATGAAAATGTTACCGATTTTCGCATGGTATTGTTACCAATATCGGCCGATGGCCACGATGCACGTGGAATAACCGGCGGTAGAACTGATAAAAGCAACAATGGCAAACCGCCACCAATGCTCGGTGCACGCTGTTGTTTTGATGATGATTTCTCATTTTCCTCATTTACCACAGCCAATTCATGTTTAATAAGCCGTGGTATCGACAGATCTGACGACGATGTTGACGATGGTGTTTCAAGTAGCTTTTCCAATTTTCCAATTTCAATATCCAGTGCAGCTAATTCCTTTTTATAAACACGATTTTGCACTTCGACACGATATTGAAGCTCACGTTTGTCATCGATCATAAAACGACGTGTATTGCATTCCATTTTTAAGCCCATGCTATGAATAACGGGATCATTTATGACACCTAATCGTACAAATAACACAAATAAATATTTTATGATGAAAGAAAATGATGGACATATAATCGTAATACATTTTTAAAAGAATGTTGTCAACAGCGCCGTTTTTACGCAACCAGACAAAACAGTCTTAAAATCCAATATTGGTCACAAACATACTACAATGGCATTTAAAATGTGTTTTGATGATAAAAGTCAATTGTCTGGCACATATTGCTGATGCATCAGAATGGACATTATACGATGAGCTTCTTAAAATCCTTAACAATATTTATTGGATATTCCACAAAAGAGTTCAATGGAGCGTCAAAAGACATTTTGAACACATTTAGGTTGAAGGTGTTCGTATACCTTTATCTTCGATACAGGTATGTATACCATCATTACAACGGTGTAGATTGGGGTTTTCACAAAATTAAACCAGAAATCGGGTTTTGTGTTAAGTGCTTCAAAGTTTAATTTTCGATTGCAGTCAAGCACCAATTTTTACGAAATGTTGTTATTAGAACACTTACCGATGGGTTTTAGTATGAGGAATATCTTATATCATTTGATAGTTCTTAGCTAAAATGATGCGCATTATGAGTAATCGGTCAAGCGTCAAGCACAAATTTCAAGTCGAATTCACAAAGCTTTGCGTTTACGAATATTTTCTCGATTCAGCAAAATTGATGGACGAAAATACGAATGAGCCTGAAAATTAATGTCCATGCCGATTTTGCCTAACTATAATGCCGATACAAGCTGTGTTAAATATTATTATTTTAATTTGCCATTGTAATTAAGTGCGTATAAGTGTTATATACGCATTTAATGCAGCCAACACATGAAACAGAAACATTCACAAACACATATATTAATTACCTTTGCTCAAGATATCTTGCATTTTGGGAAGAAAGAGCAGACAAAGTGTGGCTGTTGTTGATGTTAATATTAATGCTGTTATCGTTAGAAATGCTAATGTTACGCGTTCCGATATCAAATTTGCCAGTACCACAACAATGGCACTAGTGATTACAACGCTATAAACCGACACGCCAATGTATTGTGAATCGTTGAGAGCTGGTATTTTGACGTGTCTTGTTTCCCACGCCATATACACACCCACCACCAATAACAGTCCTTTGTAAATGTACAATGCTCCTAACCATGTTTGCGTATGAGCCGATCTACAGACTTCAACCTGTGTGGATTGTGTTTACAAATGTATAGTAATTTGGATATTTGAACTGGTATGTGAATAAAGAATGGGAATATATGTGGCCAAAAAAATCATAACCCGTCAGAGAGTGCTCTCCCCCTCCCCCCTCATCATTCCACTTTGTACTAGTATTTTCAGCACACAAATGGTAATATACACCACCATCACTAGTCATATTCCATGTTCTTTGTTCACAAAGTCGATGTGCATTGATTTAACCCTCTAGTGCATAGCCCTGCCTTTAGGAATGGTGTATAAATTATTGTCTAAATTTAATTTATGAATTAAAATACATTCAGTAGGGTTCAGGCTTTCATTTTCCGGTCATTTGACAACTGGATGTAAATCGGTTGTTTAATTATAAACACGGCTGTACTCGAAAACAGAAATTTGACAAAAAAAATTATCATTTTCTTTGTTTATAGCAGTTTTACTGCAGTTTAAACAATGGTTTTGATTGTTCTCGAATTTTGTCAATAGCATTTTTTGAGAAAACCATGCGATTTTTTGAATTTCGATTATTTTTTTAAGGAATTATAAACCAAAACAATCATAGAAAAATAAGTCTCATGTCGAAAAAAAATTAATGCATTAGAGGGTTAATCAAGATGACAGTGAAAGAAAAAAATTATCAACCTCAACTAAAATGAAGAGAAAAAAATCGTCAATTTACTGTGCACACCATCCACCGAATATAAATGCTGTGCAATATACATATCAATATATGTACAGTGTATAATTAATTGGCCTCATTTCTCTCTTCTCTCAATTTCTCTCGCTCTATCAGCGCTGTCGAATTTCAGAATGAGTTTTTTTTGCTCGTTTGATTTTCTGTTTCACTTAATTGAAAAGATAAAAAGCATGCGTCGAACATTTCGCTGAATTTCCCTTGTTGCTGGCGCTCATTCGTTAAATTTATGTATTATTTTTGGCATGGAGAATCGATTTAATTCAATTTAATAACCAAATTTAATTTCTTCACTTTTCTATTTTATGCAAACCAAGAGAGAAAGAGAGCAAAAGAGAAAGAGTGAGAGTGAGAGAGTCGGCCCAATGTTATTCACTTCTGTCAGCCAATCGATCATAATCAAAAATTTATTCAAATAAAAACAATATTTGAATGTTGTAATTCATTCATTATTGAAATGTTAAAATATTTACACAGAAACTACGCGATATTTAATTGTTTTGCTTGCGATTTTTTTTCTGCTGACACATAAATAAACATTATGCATAAACATGTTTCGGAGCCTACCTCACACAGAAACACACACACACACAATGGGATATGCTATGCTTGAGCAAACAGTAAACACAGAGCAATAGAATAATGTTTTGTGTATCTTCGTTATTGTGTCCAAAGGCGAACACATTTAATTTAATTAAAGTTAAACGAAACGTGTAAACAGCTCTTGGAGAGTTGGAGAGAAAGAGAATCGTGTATATTTTCTATTTGTGTGATTTCGGTGCTAAGCAAATCGTTCATCTATCTAACGTTCAAGTAGATTTAATTTCTCTACGAAAACACTTCGTTTCACTTCAACACGTTTAATCTCTTGAAAGTAGATTAAAATGCCGTTGGCTATATTCAGCACCGGAACAAAATCAAAATGATAAGCCTGTATGATTGCAACAACAACAAAAAAAAATACACACTGAAAACTACCAAATGAAATGCGAACAGCAGACAGACGAGACGAGAAATTAAAAGTACACTCATTTCAAATGGGTAATGCTTCGTTACTTCCGTAACGAATATGGAACGTTTGTGTTGAATAACGGTGAGTGAATGCCGGAGAGGATTGGAAAGGTTGGGTGAGGGATGCACGAAGGGAAAAAAAACGAATACTAAATCAAAAAAAAGAAGAAGAAAATCGCTGTAATTTATTTATTATTTACCTGCGGTTGATAAACAACACTGCGGTCGGTTGTACTGTATTCCAGAGTTAAATTGTTCAAGTGCCGTTCCATCGGATCAAAAACCACCCACAATGTTAATACTAATCCATCAAGTAGCAACAATGCACAGACCAATGAAATTAATTGTGCGTCTTGCAGCATTTTGTCCTTGCATACCGATGTGATGCCGCTGCGCGTAAATATTCGATGAACACGATAGGTTTTCGCAAACATCGAACCAAATGCCAACGAAAATCCAGACGATAACAAGTAGACGCGTGCCTGCCATAAAAAAGAAAACCATAGAAATACACTTCGCAGTTTGGTGCTTGGAGTTTTAAGCAAAGCTAACAAAACAAAAATAGAGACAAACACAAATGGATCACAAGAAGAGTAAATTTAAGATAAATACACAATGGCAATACACAATTAAATGTAATTTTGGGCGACAACAGTAACGGCAGCACCATTACCAGTGACAGCCCCTTCCCCACACAAAACGGAAACAATATGAATACACATCCGATTTGAAATTTTTACACGTCAGCACGTTTGATTCTGAACCGTATATTCTTGTTGCATGCGAAAGAAAATGAAGACGAAGAAGACAACGATGCACAGAGAAAATGGACTGACTTTAGACTTTAAAACACACAACTTGGAAATGAACTGGTGATGGAACAGCACGGCAGTAAAGCAAAGCATGAAACCACAGTAAAAAGGTATTTTCTGTTGGCCGCTGGCAAATCTACCAATTTATTTATTCAATAAATTTTCAATTTGTACCACGGTGAACACGTGCGCACACAACACAAAACTTATTATTAGGTTTTTTTTCTTCGAACGACGCCGCCACCGAGGTCGTCTCATCTCACGACATGCAGAAAGCGAGAACGAGATAATTTCGGTTGTGGGGTGGAGATGGCATGTTATCCCAGTAAAGGATTAGGTTTATGAAGATGAAAAAAAATTGCTGCTTAAATTCCGTGAAATTACACAGATATTATCCTATTTCAGAAGGCCAATAAATCATGGTCGTGGTTTCAATAGAGCCAAAATCTTTCAGCTCAGAAATACCGAATACGTCGGCGAAAACCACTTTTACGATAGCATTCTGTCGACTGATTTTCATCTTATTTTTTTGTGTATCGGTGGTTTGTCTTGATACGGTTGTCAGTCGCAGTTTTTGTGAACCTCAATTGTCTTCTTGCAAAACGGATTGTCTTTTCGATCCTATAAGAGACGTGGACCAAATAACTCGTTTTTAACCATAAAAAAACTGAACATTATTCCATAATTTCGATTGTATACAGCAATAATAAACAACACCAATATCAGATCTGCGTTTGTTAGTTTATTCGAATATATAAATTTAATGTTGTGGCTGAACAATCAAACAGTTTTGTTTTGGTCACACCAATTTTCGAAAGTCTATACATAAAAACATTGATTGAGATGCATTCGTATCATAATTGTCAATCAAACTTATATATCGTGTTGAATATTTCGAAAATGAAATAATAATCTTTGAAGTGTTAACAATTGTTAAGTATCATTATTTCCATCACATGCACATACACACACAATCCGATATTTGAATGTTGTTCTGTTAATTTATATATAATGATGGTTTGTCAATAAAATGCCAATAAAACACATTTCGAAATGTGATTGGTAATCATACAGATGGAAATATACCATATTATACGATATTAAGAGTGAGAGTATTGTTGTTACTATTGGTCAAATAATAATTCCATTCGAAATTAAATCAATTTCTCTCTAGTGGAAAAAAAATGTCCAGAGAGAAAAATAATAAGCTATGTACAGTTGTACACTGTACAGACAACAAATCTGCTCTGCATCATTCATCGCTACGGGATACGCTGAACGAATGTAATATTTACCAACATATGCACCAAACCATTTCTAATTACAGTTACTTGGCATTGGAAAATGTTCGATGATGGTAGAAAAGTGGTTTTTTGCGTTCGAAATTATAATCCAGCGGTGAATTGGGATCGAAACATATCACCAATTTGAAGGAAAATAAAACATAGCGAGAAAGAGAGAAAATGAGAAAACGGTAGCTAGAGAAGTATTTGAAGTTGCAATGGTGTTTAATTTCATATCCGCACGAGCGAAATACAAATTTAACAAGTGATTCCATATAATGGATTTATGAAACCAATTAGTGATTATACACTGAATATAAGCTACATGCACATACACAAGCATGCAATCGCATTTTAAATCTAATAGCCAGTTTGCTAAAACTCAATATATATGCTTCAGTTTTAACGCATATACCATACAAACTATTGCATGTACATGTATAGTTGAAGTGATGTGTTTTTAGCCTACAGAAGTAAACGTAATTGCATTTGGCCAACGATTCTATTTTTATCCAAGAAATTTAATGACGAAATGTAGTTTCACTTTATTTCCTGATCGTTTATAACACCTTTTGGCTATGTAATGTCCCTAGTTGGTGAGCTGCAGAGTTTGAGCTTGAACAAGAAATTCACTGGTAATCTCTATTGAATCTAATTTCCTTTTT